GAGGCTTAGGTAGGGGGTGGAGTCCTGGACAGCAGTTAGGGGCAGGGGTCCCAAGAGGGGGCAGTCAGGGGACAAGGAGCTGGGGGGGAGGGTTGGAAATTCTGAGGGGGGCGGGAAGTGGGAGGGGCGGGGCTCCTCCCATCCTCTTTTTTGCTTGCTGAAATATGGTAACCCTAAATCTGGGGCCTAAATTTAGGCACCTAAATCCATAAGTCGGTACCTAAATTATTAGCCTTCTGTTCCGAGCTGTGGCATCCTGATCGCTGATATTATAATCAATAAGAGCTCCCAGTACTCAACATCTTTGAAAACCTGGCCACCTAAAGACATATTTATCTGCTGAACTTTCTTTGAACTTGTATGCTGAATGCCTGGGTGACCTGCTCAAGCCACAGAGCACACTGTTGTCAGGCCTGGTGACCTGTTGGGTCCTGATCTGTGCTCAGGCCAGTAGTTCACAACCAGTGGGACACAGTCTTGAAGCAGGTTATGAGAGGGTTGCAAGTAAGTTGCACTGTACCATCTGAGAAAGCAGCAAATTCACTAGGACCCAGGTATGCTGGATGCGAAGGAGTAGCATGCTCCCTTGTCCCTCTGTGTCTCCTGCCTCCACCCCAGCTCTATACACTCCTGTCCATCATCCCAGAGCAGATCCTCGGCCCCTTTCTTCCCCACACTTGTCCATTGCGTGGCTCCAGGCAGAAGAAGCAGTACTTCGAGGGGCTTTGGAATCTGCTTCCCTGCCTGTTGAACCAGTGCTGCCCCAGAACTGAGGACTGTGTGGGTAGAGGACAACGCAGAGGGGAGAAGAGAAAAGCACCACCAACAAAAGCATCTTCTCCCCACAGAAGCATCATCAACCCCCCAGCCCAGTACCCCTCATTGTCATACAATTTTATTTGGCTCACAAACCCCAAAGACTTCTGAGTCACTGTAGTCACCTTATGCCGCGCTCTGAATGGTGCAGGACAGACGCAAGACTTCAGAGTCATTCTCTGATTGAAGACATCTGTGTCGTTCCCTCCTATTGGCTCAGCTTTATTTTCTTTCAGTGGAAGATCCTGGCTGGTTTTCCTTCCATTCCTCCTCTTTGATAGCACATTATCAACTGTGCGTGAGCCCAAAGTGCCGAGTAAAAACATTAGCTAAAATGACAAGCATGGAATACTGAACATAAGCACATAAGTTTACTGGTGAAAAACACTTGAAGATCTGCCCAAACATTTATATTAAAGTGCAATAAGCTGGAGAAAGCAAATCCAAAAGTCCATTTAAATATGTCCAATCCATTTCCAAAGACTCTTGGAATCCCAGCAGTGATCCAACGGGGAAAAAAATAAATCACCAGCTTCCAAACGCACAAGCCACAGGGATAAGCTCCTAGTGAGAGGCGAGGGGGAGAAAGTAAATGCTAACAAAAGCCACTTCCTTGGACACCTCCTGCAGGAAGGATATCCTGAAAAGCAACAGACTGGGTTAAATCAGAGAATGCTCAGCTGCCCCTGCATTCAGGTCATTGAGGGGGCAATTCTCCCTTAGCCAAGGAAGTTCTGTGCAAAGTTCTCTGCACTGCTTAAGCAGCAGCTAGGAGTTGCACAAGGGGAATGCAGGTGGAACAGCTGTGCAATGATGCCTTTGCCTCTTCTATGTCTTTCTGTTGGCCCTAGCCCGATACAATACCCATGCAACTCGCATGAAAAGGCAACAGCTGTTAAAGCAGAGCAGCTTCACACCTGCCCTCACAATGCAGGTGGATTTTACCTCGGCGTCCCCTCCACGCTCAACCCACATTCAGTCCAAATGTTCAGGCTTCAAACTGCATGCAAACTATGGAGATACATCACATCATCTCCATTCTTCTTCTCCCATCCATTACCCTGCTATGAAATTATACCAAATGGATATAGTGAATTCACTGCAGCGCAGAAAATATTTTCCTCTTTAATTTTATAGCCTATTTTCTTTTGTACAGTGTGATGGTATAGCATGTTACAATCTACTCTCGCTGTAAGGTTTTATTGAGGAGATACTTGCAGTTTTGTTTAGGGCTAATAAAATCTCCCAGTAGGATCAAATTACTGTACATTTCCATTGGTTTCACAGGAAAGCTTTCTTCATCTGCAACCTACTATGTTCAGCAGTATTTCAATAAGATCTCTGTCTATAATATTATAAACCCACTTAAGTGAAACAGTGAATTGTACTTTAAAGCATACTCCAGTGGGGAAATGAATCTTTTGAACAATAAATCACCAGGCCTAAAAGCAAATAGTTCTGCACTTTTATAGCACTTCCATCTGAGGATCTTACAAAGCTTTACAGACATTAATGAGTTAAGCACCTACACCATGGTGGCATTGGGAAGTACCATTATCCTTATTTTGTAAAATAGAGGCCCAGCGAAGTTAAATGAATTACCCAAAGACACACAGAGCTAGAGCTGGGACTGGGATCTAGATCACTAACATTCAGTTTTGTGCTTTAATACAAAACTATTCTTCCTCTCAAGTGATTTTCCTTATTGTGCATATATCCTTGCAAGAATTCTGACACTGCACAAGTTCCCACAAAGGTGAGAGGAAATCCTGAACGCAGGAGATTTAAACGGTTTGATTGTAATAGCTATGCAGGATGAAATCTGATGTCAGAGAACAGGCAAGACTGGGTACTTTGTCCTGAGATTAGATTATATGTTAGTCTGTTTGTTTAACAGCTTGTCTATTTCTATTTACAGGTCCCATCGTTCTGTAATGATGTCGATGACATTGACTGCAGATTGGAGGATTTGCCACAGAAACATTGCCTAGAATATAATTATGACTATGAAAATGGATTTGCAATTGGTAATTTAATTACTGTGTTGCTTGCTAGCCATAAAGGTTTAATGTGGTTTAAATACATTTAGCTCTGCTAAGCCATGATGTGGTGGGTACATTTAGCTCTTGTAGATTTAAGCATGCTGTGTGGAAGATTTAAAGAAAATAATTACAGAGCACTTGAGACACTAAACAGTTAAACAGTAGATCTGAGAAAATATTACAGTAGCCTGTCTGTTTCATACACTGCACATGTTGGGGAAAAGATGACTAAGGTGCCTCATACTATGCAAGAACAAGAAAACTATGAAACTGTTTGGCTAGTCTTGAAAGAAAACGGGTTTTCAAAAACCATACATTTTGAAACCAAAACATTGAAGAAGGAGACAGGGTGACTCTGGGAATTGTTAATGTAACTGAGGAGAGTCTTTCATTTTTGTCACTGATTTAAATCAAACTTGACATACGTGCACAAGTTTACATATTAGCAGTAAGTAAGGATAACTGTGTGCTTAAGACTGCAGGATTGGGGTCTTGGTTAGTGACTGACGGTCATTAGGAGGAAACAATGATGAAATCTCCACTGATGTCTCTGGAATTTCTCCACATTTACATCTGTGTAGCCGAGATCAGAATTTGGCTCATGTTCTTTAGCGACAATAGTTTAAAAGATCAGTTATGAAATAGTCACAGAACGTAATTCCAAGGTTCTGGGGTTAATTTGCCACTCCTCCCTTGGTGTTCACACCTCAACTGCTAGCAGAGCACCTCACCCTCCCTGATTGAACTAACTTCATTATCTCCATACTGATTTATACCTGCCTCTGGAGATTTCCATTACTTGCATCTGAAGAAGTGAGGTTCTTACCCACGAAAGCTTATGCTCCCAATACTTCTGTTAGTCTTAAAGGTGCCACAGGACCCTCTGTTGCAATTTGCCATTAGTTACTTATAATCTAAATAACGATGCTCAGTTATATGCAAAGATTATTTATACTTCCGTTTTTTTCTAAAAAGAAATGCTGAATGGAACACGCAAAAGTTGTTCAATTCCAACCATTATAAAAAGACACATTACGTACAGAACCACTTATTTAAACAGTCCAGGCCAAATGAATATATGGTACAATTTATAACTTTAGGGGTGTAACACCAGGTATAAATTTGACCCAATATGCTTAATATGGACTGGATAGCTAAGGGGATTGGAGGTGGAGCCTTTTGCCACTAGGGGATTTATATGAGTGAGACCCAGTTCAGCAGTGACCAGATGTGTTAATCTCACAGGTGTTCAGTCTCCTACATGAAATGATTATGAGGGTCTAGTTCCTCCTGGACAGATGCCCACATCTCAGAAACCACTATGCGGTGGCACTTGTTGGCACTCTTGGGAATGAACCAAAGGCCTGAATGAGCATGGAATCAGAACTCCCTTCCGACCACTTTTGCTTCTTGTTGCAGGACCCGGTGGCTGGGGCGCAGCAAACCGTCTGGATTATTCCTACGATGACTTCCTTGACATCGTGCAGGAGGGACAGCTACAAACGCCTCTCTCTGGCGCTGTGAAAACAGCGCCCTCCCGGGTCAAGAGACACAAAAAACTCAACATTCCAATGACAGATCACAAAATTAAGTTAATATTTAATATCACTGGTGAGGAAAAACTTCCCTTTCCTGCTCCTCCTTTTTATAATTTACTCTTAACAAAATATTACATTGTCTGGAGTTCATGAAACCAGCAGGAAATGCAGGCTACAGGCTTCTCACTGAGTTTATAGCCACATTTTCTCACTCGCTCATTTCTTGGGTAGCATATTTGTGTGGTCAGCACTATATATACTATATATTGCCCACTTTACATTTTGGTACAACGTGGGTTTGTGTGGTCAATTCCCATTGACCATAGTAACAATGATCACTGCTTTTTTGGTCCACTCTTATAGACTACTGCGGCCTGAATAGCAATAAAATCTGTAACACACTGTGTATGCCTGTGGTTTCTTTTTATATTCCAGCTAGTGTGCCGTTGCCCAATGAAAGGAATGATAGTGTGGAATCAGAAAACCAGCAGCGGCTTCTTAAAACTCTAGAGACGATCACAAACAGGCTGAAAAGGACACTCAAAAAGGAACCCATGTATTCTTTTCAGTTTGCCTCAGAACTGGTTGTAGCTGACAGCAACTCACTGGAAACTGAGAAAGCCTTTCTGTTCTGCAGACCAGGTTCAGTTCTGAGAGGGCGAATGTGCGGTAAGCCAAAAGCTCTGTATCTCCTGGGCCTTATATCCTGTATATGTGAATTTAAAAAAAAAAAAAAAAAAAGTTTGGGGGAGATATTTGTTTGGAATGGGGTATTGGCACAGGCATCACAGGATTGCGGTAGCTGAGACCTGCCAAAGCAATTTATTATCTAATGCTTTGTGCAGTCTGCTTTCTGAAGGGTGGGCTGCTCCAAAAAATGGCTATGTAAAAATACGCCTCACCTAACAGTTCTGCTCCCTGTATGAACTTGATCACATTGATTCACACTGCTGACGAAAATGATTATTCACAGCCTTTACTACGGTTAGCCCTGCCATTCCAGCATAGCTGAGAGAGAGAGAGAGAGTGAGCTGGATCCTGTTCATAGATCATAGAATATCAGGGTTGGAAGGGACCTCAGGAGGTCATCTAGTCCAACTCCCTGCTCAAAGCAGGACCAACACCAACTCAATCATCCCAGCCAGGGCTTTGTCAAGCCGGGCCTTAAAAACCTCTAAGGATGGAGATGGAGTCAGGGAATCTCAGGCAGGGAGAGACAGTCCATTCCTTCCTATGCATCATGAATACAAATGTTTACAAAGTTCCAGTCAGTTCCCCCTATGCAAACCCAGTCATGTCAGTGAGGTTGCACAGATGTCGCTGAATCCACATAGCCAAGATTGAGAAAAAGCGAGTTAGGCTAAATGGAGTTGCCCTGAAATACCAAGAAGAGCATCTGCTTATTGTCAGGTATTCCATGGTTAACCTGTGTTTTATTTTTTGCTTCTCTGAAATCCTAGTTAACTGCCCTTTGGGTACTTATTATTCTCTGGAGCACCGCACTTGTGAAAGCTGCTGGACTGGATCCTATCAAGATGAGGAAGGGCAGCTGGAATGCAAAAGTTGCCCATCCGGTAGCTATACCGAATACCTCCACTCCAGGAGTATCTCTGAATGTAAAGGTGCGAGCTCAGCATTCAGAAAATCGCTTTTAAAGTTGACTTCTAATGCTTGAAACTACCGAGCATTGCAAAATGTAACTAGAATAGCACCATAGAAAATTAAATGGATTGTTGTGTTACTTTATGGCTTTTGCTCCTGTGAGGGTACATATGGGGAAGGGAGAATACCAAGGTATTGAGAAGATATCTAGAATGCCATTGCTTGTACCTCTTAAGTGTCAGTGGAGCAGGCTGCTAGGGCCAGCAGTGCTTGACACCTGAAAGGTGGTGTAGCTCGACAGGTTGAGAGCCAGGGACCTCTTTGCCCCAGTTAATATTCACAGGCTGAGAGAGTGCATGTTGCAACACTGAAAGGGAAGTGTATACATAGTGCTACATCTTAGTACACGTCTCCCTGCCAACATCCTCTACACCTCCCAAGCAATAATACCTCTTGGCACTGTCATTTCTGTGTCCCACCTTGCACCGTTCTGCCTCGAAGCCACAAGAGAGCTCTCACTTTGCACCTTGTATATGAAATAACGATTGGTATTTTCTAGTTACTGTTGTTGAATTGGCTTTGTTAGTTAAAATATGAATTGCTAACAATAAACAATCTACAGCAGATTGGAATATAATACACTATAGCGAGTTTATATCTTGCAAATACACTATCAGTAATTTGCAGCCCACCAGTCATCACAGAATTGCATTTTCTTCATTCTGTGCGTTGCACATTTCATTGTACAGCCTGTGGTTTAGACGTGTCCATGAAACTAATGAACAACCTCAGAATAAATTAAATGCATTTAGAGAGGGGATTGATGCTATGTGCTGTCTGTACTTTGCTTAACACTGCACAGAGCACTGTCTTCTGGTTTACAAATGTCCTGGTAGCTCTTTCTTTCAAGGGTTGCCTGTCAATATATTATAAAGTGTTACCTTTATTTTTAGGGGACAGGAGACATACTTTATGTTAGATATTGCTTAGCCTTATGCCTAATCTTTATATATTATTTTGCCCTTTTAGCTCAGTGCAAGCAGGGAACGTACTCACCTAATGGTCTTGAAACCTGTGAGTCATGTCCTCTTGGCACATATCAACCTGTATTTGGATCTAAGAACTGCATCGCCTGTCCAGAAAACATGTCAACAGTGAAAAGAGGAGCTGTCGATATCTCAGCATGTGGAGGTTTGTGAAGACAAGGCCAGTGAAATTCCTGAAAACAAAATGTTGCTAAATACCATCCACGATAGCCCCATTTATCTGACCTCAGGCTACCTGCAGCTCCTGGCTGACTGCAGCGCAGTTATGTCACCCAGCAGCCGTGTACATAATTTTTTCCTGCATATCAAACACCTGGTTTTCTGAAAGATTTCAGAGATGGGGTTGTGCTGTATGCACACAGAATTCTAGGGCAAGCCCTGTGTCAGATATCCAGATGGCGATGTGATAATAAAATGTTTTCTTTTTTATTTATAGAAAACACTACTAGATGTTTTGTAACAATCATGCAGACAATAGCCAGTCATTTTGTGAGTCAAAATCCTGAGGTCCTTACTCAGTTTTTACTGAGTCTGCTTTCAAAAGTAAACTACCGTCAATGGGTTCTGTCTTGGCCTAGGCCCCTTTGGGGCAGTCGCACCCCAAGGGCTCATGAGGAGAACAGTCCACAGTGAGAGTGGGACAGGGAAGAGAATCTGTCTCTAGGTGTTGACCTTGTTGAAAATATGTTTGTGCATTGCAAGGACTGCAGTGTGGGGTGTTTGGTTGAATTTGAGAACTGTCTATGTAGGAACAAAGATTACATGGAAACATTTCTCTGGTTTTATAAAGAGCTTATTTGGGGTAGTAGTTAAACTGAGTGACCCTTTAAATAAGCACACATTTGGTTGCAAAATTCGCATGATTATTGGCTTAGTCTTATAGGACTAAGGCAAAAACTGCCTTATGATGGTGAGGAAAAGATCATGCAGTAGGAGCCAGCAGTCATTAGAGTTTGTTTTGCACTTTGCAGTACCTTGTCCAGCAGGGGAATTCTCTCGCTCTGGTTTAATGCCTTGCTACCCCTGCCCCCGGGACTACTATCAACCAGACCCAGGAAAGTCCTATTGCTTATCTTGTCCCTTTTATGGGACAACTACGATCATTGGTGCCAGATCCATCACAGACTGTTCAAGTAAGTTGATTAATTTTCTCCAGAGAATGTGACTGAGGGGGAGCAGGATCTGGCCCTTAGTGAAAATTGGGTCCATTCAAAGGAAGAATAGACCATTCTCCTTCCACAATGTTCGCCACATATTTCTACCAATGCAGCACCCGTGTTATTCCTTTCCTGGGTTATCTCTGAGTTGTCAGAAGCTGACAGTCACACCCAATTGTGGATGATTGTGTGATATGGATTAAGGTTCCCTAACAGAGCCTAGATTGTAACCCTATTGGAAACAACGAGAGTTTTGCCTTTGGCCTATAAAAACTACCTTGAGGTAGACGGACTAACGTGATTTATGTGACCATCTAAGCTCTAAGTCAGGACTGGAGAGGAATAAGTCTAACGAGTGAATTCACCACAGTGCCCCACCCTTTCTTCATTTATTATAGATGTTCATGTTTTGGAATTGAATGTGTTTTTACTGTAAGTTTTGGTATTTATTCCCACAAATCCACTTCCCTCATAGCATTTTTTAAATGCATCAATGCAATGCAATTAGGGTCTTGTCAAGCTGCATTAACAGCTGCTTTCATAATAATCCTGTTTAGGTTTTGGCTCTACTTTCACAGCGGCCGAGGAGAGTGTAATGGTACCAGTCTCTCCAGAAAATATCAGCAAGCAGTACAAAGTCAGCAGTCAGGCAAGGACAAGATTTTTTTTTTTTAATGATGCTAGCTCTAATGGAAGCAACAGAGTATCTGATGCCAATATTAAATGGCTAATGCCTTCCAGAGTATAATTGTGATACTGAGTTTACTTTCCAAACTAGGCAGCTATATTTACCATGGGGGCTACCTTTATTTGATTAAAGTGATCAAACATTGTGCCCTATAACTCCATAGCTGGCTTATATATATATTAACGGCCTTATGCAGCAGAAATAAAAAAACTGTATTCACATTTTCTAATCATCTCTTCCACT